AAACGTAACACTTACTTTAAAGATAATCGTTATTAAAGATATTTAACAAATCTTTTTATTCAGTGGAAATATCATCTTCATTCAAAAGTAGCTTGTTCTTTAGATATTTTATTATAACATTTAAATATATACACATAGGTAATTTAACTTTCAATAAAGCACGAAAGCTTAATAAGAATTAAGCTCCGTCAATAAGATTTTATATTAATTTTTTAAGCGAAATACTTTAGGGTAGCCAAAAAATTACACAGTAATACTTTTAGAAACCTAAATATATGCTAAGAGTACATTTAAATTTTTGCTACACAATTTATCTCACACATTAGACGTCTTGAATATCACGAAAACTTAAACAATTTTAGTGAAAGTTGCGAGTTTTTATGCAGATTACTGAAAAAATTCCACAATCTTGTAAACTGTTTCCGTATCTCCAGAACGGGAAAGTTGTGACGTGCCACTGCAGCGGTAAACGCCATAATCATCAATTAAAACGTCTTTGATGCGAAGAAAGGAACTATCTTGTAAGTCTCTGACGTTGTAGCGATAGTTGTCAATATCGATATGACGAATAGAACATCTGGGACATTCATAAGAAGGTGAATTGTGAGCGTAGGGATAAGGCCCTTCAATCTTCTCCCAAACTACGTTCTAGAATGAAAGAAGGAAAAACGAATATCAAAAAGGCAAAGAATCATTACTTAAAATGATAGAAAAACTATTTTGATTAATTTGTTATTACTGTCAACAGATATGTTGCATATTTTTATTTATATCACCTAATGGTGAAGAAAAGTCGACTGCTAAATTAGGCTTCAAAGTCAAGTAACGAATGTGAATAATTCAACGTTAAGAGAGTTTCAAGGATTGTGGGATACCGCACTAAGATTTTTGTCTGAGTGAAATTGTGGTGTCATTTAAATTATACCACACTTTGTTTGGTGTAGTTGTATTACCCATATCTGCTCCAACAGCTAGCGGCAATCTTTTAATACAGAACATAGAAACTGGGCAGTCTAGATAAAGCTCCAACTATATGATTTATTTTCGTATGAATAAATATTTTATTTATTTTTTCACCCATGTCCGTTTCTCTTCATTTTCTGTCAGTATTCAGCTTAGCCTCTTCTTAATATTTCCTGAATTTGCTTCGCATAGCAGATGATTAATACTTTTCTGTTGGAAATCAGCCATCTAAAATAAACCTTGCTACGCTGGGAAATATCATACAAGATACAAACTTTTCACAGAACCAGAGGACACCACCACTGCTTTTAGTGTCACAGAAAGACACTTTATTACACAATTACGAGAGTAATACAATGTTCTTACGTAATAATAATTAAACTATCTAAACGAATCATCTTCTTTCGTAGATAAATGTTAATATATCAAAAGAGAAAGTGATTACAATGCTATTTCTCAATTTCTAAATACATTTAATCTTATCCTTGGCGGAGGGTGGGGTGTGAGCGCATGTTGATGCTAGTTAGGAACTTTGTCATAAGAAATAAGTTTAATGAAAAACATTGTTATACAACACTTTTATTTGTTTGTTTTAGTGCAAAGCAATACAATAGGCTCTCTGTGCTCTGTCCACCATCATTAATCGAATCCCACCTTTTATTTTTGTAATTCCATAAACCTACTGCTGATTATATTTTATGTACGAGTTTAATTTTGGTAGTCAACTAATGTCAAATGAAATTTTATTGGCTGTAGCACTGGTGTGTCCTAGAATCCTGAAAAGGTCTTCTGTTACATTTCTTGACTACAAAGATATTATAACTGCTGTCCATTTTCTACTAAAGAATACTTGACAATAGTTTCTAGGATTTTTTTATTTGGGGGCATAAGGGGGCAAAGTGTTAGTTTGGGGAAGGAAAAAATAACACTTTTACGTCAGTGGGAATCGAAATGTAGAGAAGTTTAAAATTTTAAAATATTTTATCTCAGATGGGGGTTGCTGATGGAGCAGATCTCTCCAGTGGGGATCCGCTCCCCCATGTAATCCTGGTGGACCTGTATGTGTGTGTTTTTTATAAGAAAGCCACATCGGGCTATCTGCTGTGTCCACCGAGGGGACTCGAAATCCTGAGTTCAGCATTGTAAGTCCATACACTTGTCTATGTCCCACCGGGGAACCCTGGTGGACCCACTCCTGACGGATGATTTGTCCGATCTAATTGGACAGTATATATTTACATTGTTACGACAGCGGAAATCTTGCGACGCTGGGAGCATGCGCGCTGGGGTTTCTCGAAGGATCATGAATTTGCCCGCCAGCTCGAGTGTGATCTAGATGCCCTCTTTTTTAGTATATATAAGCCTGGCAAAGAAACCCAGAGGCAGATAGATAAATGAGTCAAACAAACAGTCGGCCCCGTAAGTAAAGTGTGTGAATCACTGTGCTTTATAGCGTGTGTT